TATTTTAGCAAGGCTGAATTCCTTAATGCTAAGGAGTGAAGCTTGAGCTGGACTTCCTGGCACCAGTCGGTGGGGACAGCGTCTATAAGGTTAGGGTGCCATCCCTCACCCAGTCAAAGCACAGCTTGGAGTAGCTTGTTATTCCACCTATGCAGACAGTCACGTTTGGTCGGTGCTACTTGGAATTAGATCTTTAAAGCCGAAAAGAACCTGGTCAAATTTCATTGCCTTAGAGATAAATTGAAACCCGAAGGCATGAAGTCACTTCAGTTCAGCTCAGTATATGTTGTCTGAGCACCTACTGCGTGCCAGCCCGCATGCCTGACATAAGAGAAACAGTGACAGATACGACACAGCAACTGCCTTCCATCTGCCCTACCCACACGGCCAATCTATGCACACTCAGGATGGCATTCTCACTTCTGCAGGCAGGTCTGTCATGCAGAGTGGGTAGACAGGCCACCAGTACAGGTGGCTTTGGAAAAGATTCTTTAATTTAATAGAACTGCCAATAATGACTCATAAAGCACACCTGAAGGATACAGTCATTGTCTTGTCCCTGAAATCTTGGGAGATAAAGTTAGATCCAGGAGGCAGAGATTAGGACACAAACCCATGAAGTTTGTAGCTGTAAGTGCCTCTTCATTTATTTGAATTAAACCACCATTTGTTAAGGGCCTATTTTGCCCATTGCTGAGAAGAGTACCAGAGTACGAAGATGAACTAGGACACAAACCCATGAAGTTTGTAGCTGTAAGTGCCTCTTCATTTATTTGAATTAAACCAACATTTGTTAAGGGCCTATTTTGCCCATTGCTGAGAAGAGTACCAGAGTACGAAGATGAACGAGGCTGTTGCTAACATGAGAAAGTCTTAAGGAGAAGCTTGCTGTGATTTTCAAGCTGCAGATCTGGGCCCACTAGTGGGTCATGAAACCAGTTCAGTAGATATAAACACAGCTTAGGGAGAGAAAAAGGAAATAGAATAGAATAAAACAATACACATTGCATACATTAAAGGTAAATATCATTTCACAAAGTGTTACATATATGTATATATATATATAATCTTTAGCATGCATGTAGAAATATGTTTAACAGATTCCTACTGATAGTTGTGACATAAAAGAAAATTTGAAAGTCATGATTTACAGTACATACCATCGGAAAGAGTGATGTTTCAGGCTGATGTGCCTGTAGTAGAACCAGCTAGTATAAGTTAATAGACAGTGTATCAGTTATGTATTGCCACAGTAATGCGGCAAAGCGAATAACCACAAGCCCACAGTGGCACAGAGCAGCAAGCACTGGTGTTCCCCGTGCCACGGAGTCAGCTGCAGAGCTCTGCACATTGTGCTTGGCTGCCTCACACATCTTAAAACAGGTGGGCTACCGGCTGCTCTAAGTGAACTTGGCTGGGGTAACGGGGGCAGTTTGGCTTGCTCCGTGTGTTTCTCATCTTCTGTCAGACTAGCCTGGGCAGGTTCTCATGGCAGTGACATGTGTGAGAGGACATGCCCAATCGTGCAAACACTTTTTAAGCCTCTTTGCATCTTGCTTTCTAATTTTCCATCAACCAAAGTTGCACAGCCAAGCCCGAGTCAGGATGGGAGGGCATTGCAAATTACATAGCAAAGAGTGAGGGCCGTTTTTATAGTTTACCACAAAAGTGAGCAATAATGTTGGATTTGCCTTCCCTTCTCTGATCTTGGTTTCAACATCTGGTGCCTAGAACTCCAGAGGGTATGGTTAGAGCTGTTTTCCCTTTGCAGTCTAACAGAACAGTTACAGGTGTTGAACAAGGCGGTGCCCTAGACTAGAAAGGGGGTACAGACATGAGTGGGGGATCTCCTGGCAAGGCAGAGCTGGGTGGAAGGCAGCCAGGAGAGAGGGTGTGAGGGAACCTTCAGGAGGACCCTGAAAACAACTGGAAACATTCCTGTCCTTCCCAATTCAGTGCTAGGTTCAAGGGAGAAGTTTCAATCAACTTTTTCCAGGAAGAGGATGTTAGTCCCATTTCCAATGTGGAAAGAAGCAAGCTTTCTAGTTGCCACTAAGCGGTGATGTGACCTTAGGCAAATGGCGTATCTTCTCAGGGCTTCAGTTTCCCCACTGTAAAGAAAGGGAGATGACTCTGAGGGCTGTAAAATGCCTTCCAGCTGAGATCTTCTCTGTCTCTTCTTTCCCCACTGCCTCGCCATGGTACATATATGTTGTTAAGGCCCCACGCCTCCCTCGAGTGCACGTAAGAGAGCAAATCCCTCCTGGCATCTTGCCTGCCTAGTGCAATACTGCCTTAGCCTCTCCTTTTTGACACAGGACTACTATGGTTGATCTGTGTACATCTGCAAGATGAGCCTCGCCATACTTACTCAGTAAGGCTGGAAGAGGCACCTCTGTCTCTCTCTCTTTTTTAAAGCCACTAAGAGGCCAGGGAATCTGCCCAAGCAGCTGGAAAAGCAGCAATGTATTCATTTTAGATTAATTTAGAGACGCAAGCTGGGAAACGCTTGGGCTGATCCTTGGAACAAATCTGGATCCTCTCAAAAGCTCACATAAGCTATCCCTGCAGAAGTCTTTAATACTCACTGGGGGAAGGGGAAAGATTTGACTCTTCAAAGGTCACCATTACTTTTAACCATGTAAAAAGAATAACAAAGGAAGAATATCTTCAAGTAAAGAGGAATTTGAGGTTCTCTTTTTAGGGGACCAACACATTGGGTTGAAACAATCCACTCTTGTTTTCAGACTCTCCAGATGAGTAGAAATGTGGACGATGGTAGCATTAGAGGCCTTGAGTCTACACCTCTCTGCCTCTGCTAGTCCGTCCGTCTCATCCTGGGACCTCAGGCACAGGCTGGAGAGCAAAAAGGAGAGCCGGGTTTGAGTGACCTGCAGCCGTATGGATCACCTGTGCTGGGCTCCTGGTTCTGGCATTAATGGCTGTGAGGAGCCAGACAGATTCATTAACTTCTCTGTGCCTCAGTTTCTTGATCTATAAAATGGAAACAATAATAGTCTCTCCCTTACAGAGTTATGAGGATTAATGGACACCTGCATGTAAAATACTCAGCACCTGGCACCACATAAACTCAAAAAAGGTTAGATAGTAGTGGCGCCGCTGCCTAAACCCGCATTAATTATTTTAAAATTGCAGCCTCCTTTCTATTCTTTTGGCTCTTAACATAGCTAAAAAGACAATCTTTTTAAAAGCCTCAGCTTACTGTGGGTTTGAAAGTTCCTGGCACAATCGCCCAAGCTTTTTATTTATTTTATTTTATTTTATTTTTTTGCCCTTCTTCCCCTAGTTATGTGATGACCTTGTCTGCATTTTTTTTCCTTTACACAAGTGCTTTCCCAATCTATGTTCATTGAAGAACTCCCTGTAAACAAACTCCCCCTTTCCCTCTTCATCAGGAGAATCTGCCCTGGAATCCTCTAAATATCAACGCAGAGAACCATCCCCTAAACCTAGAGTTACTTTTGCTTATGAAATCTTAAGACCACTGGATGGTATCATTTTTTTTCCTTTACACAAGTGCTTTCCCAATCTATGTTCATTGAAGAACTCCCTGTAAACAGACTCCGCCTTTCCCTCTTCATCAGGAGAATCTGCCCTGGAATCCTCTAAATATCAACTCAGAGAACCATCCCCTAAACCTCGAGTTACTTTTGCTTATGAAATCTTAAGACCACTGGATGGTATCAGTGTGTTTTCTGAAGCTGTAGAGATAGCCACTCAAGAAACACATTCTCAAAAGAATACTTTATTCGATGAATTAGTCAATTCCCTTGTCGTAGATGTGAAATTATCTCTAAACCACCCTGACAGGGGAGACTCTTGCAGTGAGAAGCAAAGAGATGTCGGGCTGGAACAATAGGAGGGTCCATCTGCAATGCAAATGAGCAACCAGCAGGCATATGAACTCTTATGGGAAAACCACTCTAATCATAAAAACCGCTTGCTTTAGGGAGCCTGCAGTGTAAGGACAAGCAGAATCATAGCTCCGTGAATCCCCTCTAATATGGTATATTAGGGAATTATCCAGGTAGTTTTCTATGAAATTGCATTTGAATGAAACAAAATGCATTGCTGGGCAGTAGATAATATCTTTAAAAATCAAATCCACAATTGCAGATTGAATTATTTATGGTTGTCACTATAGCTATGATAGTTTGGATATAAAATAGTCAGGCTTTACCCTCTGTTTTTATTTGTAGGAAAACAAGTCATTCAAGCTTTTTAGTGATACAATGTGACTGGCTGTCGATGGCAGTTACAAATTTTCAAGCCCTGCCAAGCAGAGGAGTACCCAGAAGGGACATATGTTTTCTCTGCTTTGTGTTCCAAATTTGCCTTAAAAACATGCAATTATGCAAAGGCCTGATTTATATTTTCAAGGAAAAGCACAATAATGGCCCTGTTTTGTAGCTGTGTTTCTCTAAAACGTATTTATATTGCTGCCTTTTCAGAAGAAGTTGGCTAATGATCATTGGATTTTCGCTTTCCGTCATGACATGCGAACATTTGATGAGGTCTGTGAGAATTAAGAACTGTTTTCTTAAGTGCAATGGAAATTTAGTTAACATAGTTTTGTACTGCGAGTCTGACAAATCTTCTGTAGTTACCTTCCATCCATGTCCTGATTTTCGTGGAGGGTGGGATAAGGGGAAGCAGGAGCGTGTGTATGTGGAGCCAGGAAACAAAAATGGGAATGACCAGGAGGATAAAGAGCAGACCCTGGCTGGCACCGACAGCTGCGTTATGTCACGCGTGCATGTCAAAGGTGGGGCGGGGGCGGATGGCATATTTGTTGGGATGCTTCTGGGAGAAGTTGTGAAGGGAGAAAGTGAGGCTTTTGGGTTGTATTTTATGCTGAAATGAAAATTACTATAAAGCCCTTTATAAATTATAGAAAATGATAGAATCGCACTGGCTTTAGATTTCATGCCCTTCATTACCATTATTAATGACGGCTTTTACTTCACTTTCTCAGCAGCATTTCCAGTTAATTTATTGAGAGAAGATGAGTTAGTCTCTTTCGGAATTGGGGAGCCCCCTCCTGGGAGGTAGGGAAATTTATTTGTTGTTTTTTTCTCTCTCAGCAATGGAGTTAGAGAAAGTCGAAAGGTCAATTCCACATAATAAGGTAGTTAGTAGACAAGTAATTATCATGGTATAAAGTTAGGAAATATTGAAGCTAAGGGGAAAAGATATACGGGGGCAGTGGAAAGATGGAAGTTTGCAGAAGGGATAATGCAATATGTTATCAATATGTTTTGTACAAATCTAGAGTCACTTTGTTAGTTTAGGATTATAACTCATGTAATTTAGGACTGATAAAGTATTTATACTGTATATTTAGCTCAGAAAAATACAATGTGGAAAACTGAGAGAATAGCCTGTTTTTTCTGTAATTTTCCAACCTTAAGGAAAATAATTTTCAAATTCTTAAAAAAATTGTTTCTGTCCCCAGAATGCACATGTTGGGTTCAAGATAAGTCACATGTGTGTTCTTAGAGGCATCACCTTCTTGTTAAAGCTCAGACCCAAGTTCATTTTTCTCATATGTGTTGTGTGTGAGCCTGGTACACTCCCATCTGCTTTTTTGGATTCTGGAGAAGGTTTGGTCAAAGAAACTTTTGAATTCCTTCAGTGGTCACGTGTTTTGTCTGTAAGGGAAATGGCCCTTCAGTCTGATGGAATCACCTTTTGCATGTATTTAAATACTATTGAGATCTTTTCCCCAGTCAGTTTTTGAATAAGACCTCTTGGGCTCAGGTCTTCTCAGAAGAGCCCTGCAGTGAAATGTTAAGTAAAAACTTCAGTCTCAGTGTTTTTCCATTCTAGAGCTGGGTTTCCAACTTTGTCCCTCAATGAAAGCCAATTAAAAAGTAATTGTGGGATTGCTCGAGACGAAACTTTTTTTTTTTTTTTTTGTCCTTTTTGAGACCGGCCGCACCGTGCTCAGCCAGTGAGCGCCGTGAGCGCACCGGTCATCCCTATATAGGATCCGAACCCTCGGCGGGAGAGCGCTGCTGCGCTCCTAGCGCCACACTCTCCCGAGTGCGCCACAGGCTCGGCCCAAGACGAAATTTTAAAGGTGCTTCAAGTTCATAAAATCGTGAACCTCCCAATAGCCTTGGTGTCAGTCGGAATTTTATGGGAGGGGCTGCCACCTTGGAGGCTGGTGCACAGAGACTTCAGAAGATGATCCTACGGGAGAAAGGGCCAATTTCCTCCTTTGTTGTCTTCCTCAGGCCTCACAAGTGTGCAAGAACATCTGAGCCTAACATGGCTATACCTGCTGGTGACAGTCTATTTATCCTAAGCCAGAAGTTTGGGGATTTTCATTTATAAAAGCCAAATTGTTGAGACAGTAGCTAAGAGACTACAGGTGAGAAGGAGATTTCCCCTGGTGATCTGTTTATTGAGCTAACGACAGGTGACTAAAAGAGAACCAGTTTCCCTAATACCAAGAGTAGCAAGAGCCTCTGGCCATAGGTTCAGAAAATTTATCCCAGAAAAAGAGCTGTCAGCTCAGTAGCCCAGTCCTCCTCCTGGCTCAGCTCAGGGTGATTTGGGAAGGGGGGCAGAGGATGTGTGAGAGGCAGCTGTAATGCACAGGACCCCGGATGGGGAAGGGAGTCTTGGAATATGACGTGGCAAAGTATTTTCAGTCTCCTTTTTCTCATTTCAGCCCAGTTCCTGGTTATTTTTATTCTTCTTATTTATTTATTTATTTATTTATTTGCTTCCTCTTTCCTCTCCCAAGTCAATGCCTATCCTGTCCTCCCACTACCTCTCCACCTCCTCATTCTTTCCAGCCCTGTCAAGCCAACCCTTCCCCAGATTTGGGTCTGGGGAATCCGCTGAATTAGAGTTGAGACTGGGAGCAGTTATGAGCTGAGCCTCCTGTCTCACTGGCCTCGTAAAGAGAAAAATTATGGGTTTCCAGAAATTGCATTTTATGGGCATTACTGTTAGTATTATATGTTTTTAATTTATTTTCTTTTTGTTTTGATGAGATCGAACATCAGGTGACCCTTGAAGAGCTACAAAACTTAAACGCACTCTTTCAGCTAGGAAGTGACCATGTGAACTTTCAAAATATTCATGTGGGTAATTTGATTCTTTTTTGATGGTTGATTTTTCAGTGAAAAGTACGATCCTTTTAATTTTTGTGAGATAGCAATGAAGAATAAATTCTTTTTAATTGTCACTTCTTAATGGAATTAGAAACACATTGTGAATGCATCAGAGAAATGAACAAAAGAGGTAACGTGTTAGAAGTTGACAGGGTTTAGGTAAGACTAATTAGACATTCAATCCTTTGGACTCTTGCTCCTAGACTAAACAAAATGCAACTATGTTCATAGCTAATTACTCTTTCTTTGCTTTTAGGAGTATGAAAAGAGAGGAAGACAGCTGCTGGGTATGGAAACTTTCAAATGCATAAGGAAGCAGCGTATGAGGTCACAGAATAAAGTAAATGGGTTTTATACATGTTGGATCATTGAAACCACAGTTAAAGATTTAACCATGTGAATCAATTAGGCTTGATGGTCTAGCTACAAGATTACTCTCTGCTCTAAAGGGATTTCTACTAAGACCCATCTGATTTACTGAACTGTTTAGATGGGAAAATATTTTTAAATTACTTAGTGCACTAGGTCAACAAGGTATTGACACACTTTTCTTGAAAAAGAGAGAAAGACTCTTATTAGATTATTTGTATATGTTATTTGATTATTTGTATATGTGTTTTTTCCATAGAGTTTGGGCACTTCCCCACTTCCAACCTGCTGGAATTAAGTATTTTAAACATTCTCTCTACCATTTTGGTTAACCCAGAATATAAAATGTTAATGAATAAGGTTGTACTCAAATCATAAGATAAAATACATATTATAAAGGGAGAAGCTGTTTACGCTGTATTTGTTAAGGTTTCATGATTATGTCTTAAATTACAGGAAAAAAATATTCGAGGTAAAGCTCTACGATCTTGTCCCTGGAGTCTGAACAGAAACATACCCTTGTCACACTGCTGGCTGAGGAAGTCACCAGCTGCCCCTTCCAAGTGCAAACCTCTGGATCTAATGGCTACGGTGGAAGTTTGGGTGTGTTTAGAGTTCCACCTGCTGTGGGAAGGGAACATGAAATAACACCTATTTTTTAAAAACCTCCCTTCCTGTCTCCTGTCTATTCAGGCTGCCATAACGAAACATCTTAGATTGATTGGGTGACTTACAAACAACAGAAATTTATTTCTCACAATTCTGGATGCTGGGAAGTTAGATTAAGGTGCCGGTTCACTTCCTGGTTCATGGCACCTTCTCGCTGTGTCCTCACATGGCGGAAGGGGCAAGGGGTCTCTTTTATAAGGACACTAATCCCACTCATGAGGGCAGAGCCAAAGGCCCCACGTCCTAATACCATCACCTTGGGGATTAGGATTTCAACATATGAATTTTGATGAAACACAAACATTGGGACCATAGCACTTCCATTTATGTAAAACTAAATAAAGAATATCTGTTGGGAAGAAAGAGGCATGTTTTAAATGGATAAATTATTATGTATTTTAACAATAGCCCAGATCTTTTAAACCAATGCAGTCCAATTACCTATAGTTTAGAATGCCTGCCTGCCTAGCCACCTACTCATTCATTCATTCATTCATTCATTCATTCATTCATTCATTTGATATTTACTGGGGCAGCCTTTGTCTTAGCCCCTGTGGTACAAGGTCAGTCAAGACAAGGTCTCTGCCTTGGGCAAGTTCAGAGCTGCCCTAGAGTTTAGCGTGGGTGCCTGCCAGGCAGTCAGGTGAGCCGCCCGCAGGGTCAACCTCGGGCTGAGCTTTGAGGGATGAAGGGAATCGCTCCACAAAGAAGGAGAGAGAGACAATGGCTTCCAGGTAGAGGGGTGGCATCTGCGGAAGCCACTTGTGTGTCTCTTCCACACATCCAGGGAACGTGTGCGAGGCAAGGACAGACATCACATTACCTGGGGCTGTTTGTACTTTGCAGAATCTTACCCAGCACATCACTGAGGAGCCATGAAACTGTTTCTTTGTTCACTTATTTATCAGATAGTTACTGATTTCTGACTGCCCACACTGCCTTAGGATCTTTATATCTTGTATTAATCAGGCTCCAGAATATCAGAACAGCCCTGCTCAGAAGCTATTTTTATTCCTACTTCATAGCTGAAAAGACAGCAGTTTCGAGAATCAGAGTAACTTGCCTGGAGCCCCTCAGCTACTAAGGAATAGATTCGGGAATTAAATTCCAGTCTGACACTAAAGCTCATTATATCAGTGAGGATTAGGTTTAACTGCAGGTGAAAGAAAACCCTCAACTACAAGGTCCAAGCATGGTGGAAGCATTCTCCTCTCTCCTGTGAAGACAGGGGTCAAGTGGCCTCATGAAGTCACCAGGGAGTGGACTCCTGTGGCTGTGCTGCCCACCCCTCGATGCGTGCCTTCCTCTGCATGGCCCAAGGTGGCTGCTGGACTCCAGCCAACAAGTCTTCACTCCAGCCAGCAGGAAGTGGGAAGTGGCAAGGAAAGATTCACATCTTCCTTTTAAAGATAACTCTTAGAAGCTGCCCATGACACCTGCATTTTCAACGTTTTAGTCAGAAATTAATCCCACAGGGCTGGCCATTTAGCTCCGTTGGTTAGAGCTTCGTGTTGTAACACCAAGGTCAGGGGTTCAGATCCCCTTATCGGCCAGCCACCAAAAAAAAGAAAAAAAAATGTTGAAGAAATTAATCCTGCATCATATCTAGCTGCACAGGAGGCAGGTCAATGTGGTCTTCATTCTGGAGCAGCATGACCCAGTTGAAAGTCAGGTGTTCCTTTAGTAAGGAAGCATGGCCAAGGGGAGCAAATGACTCTGCATGTCCTTCCCATGATTCTAGGGCTTCGTGTTTAGTACCTGTAAAAACCAGGAAGCATCTCCTTCACTCTTTCTACAAAATGCCAACTTAGTCAAAATTGAGTGCCCAAAAGGGGAAGGGACACTAAAGAATGCAGCCAGGAAGGGCACAATGAACAGGATAAATGTTTCAGACATAGGTGGCATCTACAGAAACAGTGGTCTCAGCCTAGAAGCATAACAAGCCCTGTTGTTTCTCTGGGAAGCCAAGCAGGTGTCATAACTTCCCTAGAAATGCATAGATGCTCCACCTTTTCATCTGATGGTGGTCTGCAGTTACCTGTGGCATGGAGTTTAGCATTTTGCATTGCATTGCTGGTTTGCTTCTCTGTGACTTCATTGACAGTGAATGCCACATAAATATATCTTTGAGCTCTGAAGCCTCAGCATCTGGCACAGTGCCTGGCATACCATTGGTGCTTACTCTGTTTCTTCAGTGACTGAATCAATGTGTGGAGGCAGTAGTTCAGTGTCCCTCACTGTCCCACACAATCATGTTTTCTGGGCAGAAACATGTTCCTCCTCAGCTCTGGGCTGGATGGAGGAAGCTGGGCTCTCGAAGCACTGCCACAGTGCAGCAGGGCGAGGGAAAGCCCATCTGAAGGCCCATGTCCTCATGGTGCAGCTCTCAATGCTGCCTGGCCCTTGCCTGCTGCTACCTTGTCTGGAGCTCCAGGGTGCCTACGTGTACCCACAGCTCTCCACAACTCTGCTTCATGGTCACAGGGCTGCTCTGGCAGGGGGGTGGGGGGGATAGCCTGAGCTCAGTCTGTAACTGCTGTCATCCTGAGCTTTTCTGTTTTCTCTTCTATCTCTGATCCAAGGCTCTTCTTGAGGCCATACCTTTGGGTTTTTGGTTTGTTTGGACATACATTCAAAAAATGTTTGTTAAACATTGTGTGCATGGTATTGTCTAGTTGCCGTGGTGAAGTCTGGCACTGTCCACCATGCCCAGGAGTATGACGAGTCTCCACTGGAGCATGACTTAGAGAGAACTGGTGCTGAGCTTGGTTCCACAGCCAGGATCTTTCCTCATGGCCCCCACACTGGCTCACCAAGCAGAAACACCCTGATGTCTTGGAGACCGGCATGACCTCACTGTCTTCATTTGTCTGCCATGGCTGTTCAAAGGCAGACACCCTGCATCTTATAAGAGAAAAACTAACACATCACTCCCCAACACAGCCATGTAACCTGACCTACTCTGTTGACACTGCTTTCAACATACATTCATGAAATTATAGAATCTTGGGGTTTGAAAGAACCCTAGAGATTTCATAATACACGACTCCTTCAAAGCTCAAATTCTCTTCTCTGCTAAGCCATGAATCAGCATACGTTTGAATACCTTCAGCTACAGGGAGCTCACCAACTTATAAGGCAGCCCATTTCAAGGTTGGAAAGCTCTAACCTTAGACATTTTTTTCTCTACCAGCTAAAATTGGTCTTTATTGACATTCTATCCATTAGCCCAATTCTGTACTTTTGAGCCACTGTATTAGTTATCCATTGCTCCATAAAAAATTATCAAAAACTTAGGAGCCTAAAATAATACACATTTTATTATCTCACAGTTTTTGCAGGTTAGGAATCCAGACATGGCCTAGCTGGGTCCTCAGAGTGTCTCACAAGGCTGGGGTGTCATCTGAAGGCTTGACTGGGAAAGGATCTGCTTCTAAGCTCACATGGTTCCAAGCTTCCAGGATTCAGTTGCTTGCAGGTTGTTGGACTGAGGGTCTTAGTTCCTTCCTGGCTGTTGAGCAGAGGCTGCCCTTAGTTCCTTGCTATGTGAGCCTTTCTATAGGACAGCTAACAATATGACAGCTGGCTTCATCACAGTCAGCAAGGAAGAGAGTCTGCTACCAAGACAGAAGTTACCATCTCATGCAATCTAATCACATAAGTGACCTCCCCTCAACATTGAGGTATCCTGCCAGCAAGCAAGTTACTCAGGGTGAGGGAATCACACAGGCTATGAGGACCAGGAGGCAGGGATCCTCAAGCCCATCTTATAGTCTTCCTGCTACAGCCACACAGAAGAAATCTACTCTCTCTTCCACAGGATGATCCTTCTAATACTTGAAAGTAATTTTCATGGCTTGCATGTCTTTTTGTCCCGGGCTACACTCAAGTCAGCACCCTCACTATCCTTGTCCTTTGAACCTGCTTTTCTGTTTATCTCAAAGTGGGGCCCCTAAACATAGTCTTGTCTTTTGGCTGAAACTGACCAGGATGGAGTGGGGCTTTCTGGGCACCCCAGCACTGAGGGACACACATCTCCTCCTGCTAGTTAGAGCTTGATTTCAAAAATAAAAGTTCTAGGAGCCCTAGTGTCTAACTAAGGAATAGTTTTGGTGTC